GATTAGTACAAGTTAGCCAACTGGCATAGAGTAGGTATTCAGATGGCTTGAGTAAAGGGAGCATCACGGTGCTCTAAAAACCCATCTTGGTTTGGAGACCATGAATTTAGGGGTCAAAGCTTAAGAGTTTTGTGCTTGCCTGTAGCCAATATCAGCAGCAGTGGTGTAGGAGCAGAGAGAGCAGATCCTGAAATGTATTCAACACAGCCATTTTGCTAGGTGAGTAGGGTGGAAAACAAGGGTGCAGTGGAAAGGGTGTTGATGAAAGAGTGTCTCAGGTAATCAACTGTGGAGTCCAGCCTGGGCCTAGAAGGAGATGAGGCCAGGAAGGGGTTGATACCATGTGAGATAATGGAGAGGTCAAAGCGCCAGAGGACTCTAAGAGGGGAAAGATGAGTTCTAGGAGGATCGGATGCTTAAGAGAGCTGGAAAGATGTGAGGTTGTCATCAGAGAATGGAGTGTTAGAGGAAGATGTCTTGGGTGAAGCTGGTCTGGCTAATGGTAACTGCATAGGTGGCCGAAGCAGAGGGAGTAAAGGTTGTGAAGTTGAGGCAGTCAAGGGAAAAGGTTGGTGAAGGTTGCTGGGTTATGCACAAGCATATTGCAGTTGCCCGGACTGGGGAGAGACTGTGGGTAAGGCGCCACCAGAAGCTAAAATAGGTCTCACCTGAAGAAAGGGTTTTACACAGAAGTAGAGGAGTATTAGTCTAGAAGTGGCACTGAGGATCCACATGAATGCCCATCCCACTGGCCTCAAGGTGCACAGGCTGTGGGAGAATGAGCAGCCTACACTGAAGAGGGCTGCCCGTGATGGTGTCCTCAGGGGAGAATTAGGTTTCCATGAGGGCGAAGAGGTCGGCAAGTTCTATGGAGAGGAAGATGGTAGGCCGCACTTCCCAAACTTCAGTACTGCATACAAGCCATGGATAAAATACAGCTTCTGATCCTGTAGGTGTGGCTTGTGTTGAGGACTAGAGAGAGTCTGCATTTCTAGCAAGCTCTCAGGTGGTGGCAGTGCTGCTTGTCCCAGGACCACACTCTGAGGGGCAAAGATGTAGGCAGTTTTGTTTATCATGGTTCAGGGGTTTCAAAGGGCACAGTGAAAGTGGATTTGCAGGAGAGCTACAGGAGGATGAGGCCATGCACGATACAGCAGAATAGGGATGAGTGTAGAGGGAAGGCAAGCTGACTGGAAGGATGGTGATAGAGTAAATTTGCTGCTGTCACTTGGGGCATTGTCGCAGTAGACCTGCTGGGATGGTTGTGTTCGAGTACAGCATCAGTGACCAGGTCTTGTGGGTTTCCAGCGGGAGAGCCTCTGGTGGCTGTGTTGGCACAAAGGAGTGGCATTTGGATGAGAGAGGAGACCAGAATGACTTCTGAGTGTCTAGGAAGTGTGATAGGAAGATGGTGGTGACTGAGGCCATGGGAATGAGGGCAACTACCAGGGATAATGTGCATGTAATGTGCAGATGTCAACAAAAGATGGGCTGGGATGGAACCTCAGAGACAGGCCAAGAATTTAAGATAAGGAGAGTGAGAAAGAAGTTACAGAGGTCCTGGAGTCCAGTGAGCACAGCAGAGTGGAGTGGGGGAGATGGCCACTGTGGGAAGTAGGGGTGGAACCCTTGCTCTGTATTCAGATACCACTCACATACCACTGAGAATACAAAGCTTAATGAGACCAAGATAATGGTGGCAGTGACGTCAGAGGATAGTGTTTCAAGAAGAGACTTTTCAATGTTAAGAAGAAAGATGACAATTAAAGAGTACTCACTGAGGTGGCTGGGGTTCCATCCCGGCTGGGCTGCCACAGTGGAACGCAGTGCCAAGTACCCATGGGACAAGCTGCAGTGGGACCTGGAGGCAGAGCACGTGGAAGTGCAGGACACAACTCCCAACGTTTTGAGTCCAGCTTCCAAGTCCTGCTGGTGTCGTACAAGTTCAAGGGGAAGCCGCTGCTTCAGTGACACCAGCTGGTGAATGCGTGCCTAGTGGAAGAGCTCCTGTACTTCCGTGCCTTTGAGCAGAAAACCCTGACCCCAGAGCAGTGGGCCCCTGAGTGGCAGCCATTGCACGGCTATTCCGTTTTGCTTACTAGACTTCTGTTGACAGATCGTTTCTACCTTTGGACCATTGTGAGTAGTTTATTGTTCTTCATTCCGTAACTCCCAGCTCTCTTCTTCCTATTGCTCAAACTTGTCAAGCTCATTTCTGCCTCAGGACCATTACCTTTGTTGTTATTCTGCCTGGATTGTTCTCCCAGATTCTCCGTGGTTCTCTCATTCTCATGCTTGCAGCTCAAATGACACATCCTCAGAGAAGCCCTCTCTGATCAATGTATTTAAAGTAGCTAAACCCTCATTCACTTTTTATTCCATTATCCTATTTATTGTCTTCACTATTGGAAATGAATAAAAAGTAATGTCTAGTCCAGGGGTTGTTTTGTGCCTTTGGCCCTCGAGCAATCTAGTGAGGCCCCTGGGCTCATTCTCAGAATAATGTTTTAAAATGCCTGAAATACACCAGTTACACTAAAAATATAGTTACCAAAATATTTTACAATTGTGATTTCATAATCCATTAATTCCTGAAATAATAGTGCCTATATGCAGTTCTAATAACTATCATAATCTAGAAGTTGCAGTAAATATAAATGGTGTTTTGAGATATTTATAAAAACTGTGGCAGGAAACAAAAATATTGGTGATTTCTATTGATTATGAAATCACAGGTACTAAAAATTACTGTAAATTGGTATCTGTGTTTGGACCTAAAGAAACTGCTAGAGTGCAGTTGGAGCTTCATGAGAAAGATGTGCTTTTTCCCTATCCAAGTTCATGGAATCAATAAATTCTATCCATAGACTCCTTGGAGGTCTGTAGATCCCGGGTGAAGAACTCCTGTCCTGAAAAGTAAAAGATAAACAGTAGTGATGAGGAGGGAAGGGATACAGAGTGTTGGAGCTGGAGTTTGTAGGAGATAGAGATGAAGTAAACCAGGAGATAATCAGCTAGAAGAAAACTTCTCTTTCCGCCCCTCTGTGAACTTGGGTGTGAAAGAGGGAGAAATTTCCAGTTGAGAAGGGTGCAAGGGAGCAGTGGCTTTGAAGGGGAGTCAGTTATCACTTAGAGGAAGGAAGCATTTTGATGGGAGGTTGCCTATGGGAGTATGGGATTTTGTTTACTGTGGCCTGGAGTCCAGTGAGCACAGCAAGAGTGGAGTGGGGGAGATGGCCACTGTGGGAAGTAGGGATGGAACCCTTGCTCTGTATTCAGATACCACTCACATACCACTGAGAATACAAAGCTTAATGAGACCAAGATGACTCACCCATCTAGGACTAGTCTAGACTAAATCCTGTTGGTGGATTGGTTGGTTTGGCTTGTCTGATCCATGTACCTCTTCAGAGACCCTAAGTAGCAGACAGCTAAGCCCAGGGTAGCACCAGAGATTTTGGGGGGGAGCTAAAAATGCACTCTTCTCTTTCATCTTTTGATTCCTTTTGCAAAACAACAACAACAAAAAGTGAAAAAAGTTTTGTAATGAAAAAAAATGAAGCAGCACCATACTTAGACAACTCAAATAAGCCAGTCATCCAAAACTTAATCAGATAAGCCTAAGGGATGCGTGCCCACCCTCACTCCTAATTCTTGAGGAACCTTCTAAGTACCTCTGTAACCAAGAGATTCTTAGATGCTATTACCCTGCAGAACAATGTTTGCCTCAAAGGGATTAAAGGAAAAAAGAAAGGACTGTAATTTTAGACTTTTCCCTGGGGCTCCAAAGATAACCCTGCACCTGGATCTCTCCTCTGTATGTAGCGCCTTGACTCTAGGATTCTGTGATTCTTTTTTTAAAAGCTCTTTTTCCTTCTCTGCTAGGGGGAGCTTTCCAAAAGGCTCAGGTTGGGGCTGCTGCAGGTGGGAGGCATTGGCTGAGCCCTGCTTCTCCTCTAATCATGTTCCCTTCTGGCAGTGGTACCTGCAAACTCTAGCTTGAAGGGAGGAAGCCCACTGGAGAGACAGGGGTCAAACTGGGAGATGAGTACAGAGGCAGGGCTGAAGCTAAGTTGACCTAGTTAGAGCAGAAAGAGGTTGCAGGGGTAGCTGGAATGGTCCTGGAGAGAAGGGGGAGGCTTCCCAGGACAGGGAGGAGCAAAGGACTGACTTTTGTTTATGATGCCTGTCAGGACTTGGGGCCACAAAGGGAAGCTGGGCATGGAGACTCAGTGAGCTGGGTTGTGTGGGTACACGTGTGGAGGATGGGAGGAGGGATTATTTTTACCTGATTTTGTCCGAATACTTAGATTTTCAAGTCACAGCCTTGGAGGTAATGGGAACCAGAAAACTGCTGGGACCTTAGGCAAGCCAAGTGGGGGGCACCAGTAGACCCAACAAGACTGGGCAGAACCCAGAAAATTCTGACAGAATTCCCCAGCAGTGGGTCAAGGAGAGGTCCTGGCTACTTCCATACTAGGCACTGGAGGGAAGACACAGGAAGCAAAGACGTGGGCCCAGCCTGGAGCACAATAGGCTCATCCACAGATACGGCCTGTGGGCTCCACAGTACATCAGAGCACCACACGGGACAGAGAAGGACACTTTGAGATCCCTCCTCCTCAGAAGGAGGCAGTCTACTTGAGGGAACACTAATCCTTGTGAAGCAACAGTAAGTGATTCAGTAGCATAATTATATTTTTTGCTCCTGGGTCACAGGAGCTATTGCCAGCATAAGTGAGGAAGGCCCTATGGGAGGAGGTGGGCACTCAACCAAGCCCTGAGGTCTGGGAGGTCAGAATGGGGATGAGAAGAGAGAAATGGGCCTTCCAGAGTGAAGGGGCCCCAATGGGCATAAGTTTGGCTCATGGGGGGGGTGGACTACGGAGGTGGTCAGTGGGGGAGAGTCAGATTACCAAGGTATTTTAAAGTCCTAAAAGGACTGTATCAAAATCCAGTTTTTGAAGTGGTCCGACCACTTTCCTGTTCTCCCCTTTTAGCTACAAGCCCGTTGTGGAATTCATCGATGCCCAGTTTGAGGCCTACCTGCAGGAAGAACTGAAGATCCGTAGGGTCCTGCACACCTACCATGACTCCCGCATCCACGCCTGCCTGTACTTCATCGCCCCCACGGGTCACTCCCTAAAGTCACTGGACCTAGTGACGATGAAGAAGCTGGACAGTAAGGTACAGAGGCAGGGGCGAGGGCAGGTGGGAGGCTGGGCAAGCTGGACTCACTCTCTCTGGTCTCTTGTGCAACACAGATGCCAGGTCCAAGAAGAGGTTCTGTGGCCTCCTCATCCTCTTCTCAATTCATTGCCCCCCCCCATAAAGATGGTGGTACTGATCCAGCACCTGCATCATAAGCTTTGGGATTCGTTTTCCCAGCACTGGGCATGGGGGTGCCCAGAGCTGTCTTTCTGCTCCAATCCTTTCTGGGAATAAGGGTGGATGTGAGCAAGATTGCTGTCTGGGTCTGGGGGCTCAGGCTTCAGCAATGGAAAGGTGGTTTTTTTGTCCCAGTGTGAACTGGCCTCAGTCAAACATGCAAACTTGACTTTGAAAGTTATTATTATCAATAATAATTTTTATATAGCAGCTAACATTTTTTAAACCCTCATTATATGCCACCATTGTGCAATACCTCATGGAGTATCACACTCAATCCTCCCAACAGGTAAGGCCAACACTGGCATTGTCTTCCATTTTATAGCGTAGAAAACTGAGGCTATGGGTTAAGTGACTTGCCCCCTGGCAGAGCCTAGATTTGAACCCAGATGTGTAGCTCCATGTTTTATGGCCTCTGGTCCAAGCAAGATGGCTGTGGGAATCAGGTATATCCTGTTTTAAAAGAAACTGAAAAATGCAAGCCCCACACCAGATATAAATTAGATAATTCTTCATATAAAGGATTACTTTCTGTACAAAGAAACTGACCACAGGCATCTTGAAAAAGCCTAATTGCTAAGTACCTTTTTCCCCTAACATTCCCTATGTGTCTGGCACTCTGATGAGTACTTTATATGTATTATTTTATTTCATCCTCACAATAGTCCAGTGTTTTGGATACTATTTTTATTCCCATTTTACATATGAGGAAACTGAGGCACAGAGAGTCAAGTAGCTTGCTCAAGGTCAGACAACCATGGGGTTGGGTCTGGGATTCAGAGCAAGCTTTCTCTGATTCCAGGGTATTTTATTTTACCAAAAAAAATCTAATTTATATATAGTTAGTTAGTAGCACATTGACTGTAAGAGCTGAATTTCAGCTACAGTCAAGATAGGAGCAGTTTTTCATATTTCGCAGCAATGAGCTCACTGCCCATGAGTAATGGGCTGCTCTGGAAATGTCACCATGCCATGCATGCCCTGTATAGAGTAGCAGAGAGCATGTGGCTGGAGGCCTGGTGGGTGGGCCAAGTTAAGTAAGCACCTTTGGCATATATTTATAGTGCACCTGGGACAGGGTGAAAAACTACAAGGAGAATTGGCTCTGCCTGCTTTTTGACTCCCTACCCGCAACAACTTCAAGGGAGGTGCCCCTAAGGTTCAACCTTTCTGTAAGCTAGCACCTGAAGCTGCCATGTCAGCCTTAGAGGTACTCCTAGGCAAAGTGCAAAGGGGGCAGAGTTTCTCTTCCAAATCTAGAGCTCCATTCAGGGCCAGACCACCATCCATGCCACCTGATTGGAGTGTGCTGGCAGGAACAGCTGTGGTCTCTGTGTGAACCTTCGGTGTGCTCTGTCTCACTAAGGCCTGTGCATTTCAAGTTTCTTTACCTTCTGATGGTAAAAGTCTTGTCTCTTCTTGGAAGAATTTCAAGGATCAGGGTTCAGGTGGATTGAACTTTGGGAGGGTATTAGACCTTTTCTCCTACTGTCTGAAATCGGGCACTATACCTGCTTTCTTTATGCAGAATTAATTGTGAGACTCAGGCACTATGACTCTTTTTGCATGAGTCTCCAATCAGGTTGATAACTGGGAGGGTCTTCTTCATCTAGCCAGGTTGGTTCATCAGTATTTTCTGACAGAGGGTCTGGGGTGCCTCTCCACTGAGCTCTGCCCTGCCTTCCCTCCCTGTCATTGCCCATGTGGGTCCCTGTCACACCGGCTGGGGCTAGCCTGTATTGATCAGATGGGTTGGACAGTTGGCTGTTGGCAAAGAGTGGCCACTTCTCCCCTTGTCAATCACAGATTCCCAACTGTCAATTTTCTGCTTCTAATCACTCAAAAGCAGTAACCTTGATATTAAGGTATCACACAGCTCATCAATTTGGATCTGAGCTGGTAGACAGCTCATGGTTAAGACTGGATTTAGGAATAAGACTAAACTTGGATCTGGATCCCAGCTCTGCTACTTACCTGCTCTGTGGCATTGGGCAAGTTACTTAGACTTTTTGTGCTTCAATTTCTTATTGGTAAAATAGTGGTAATAATACCTCCCACCATGGTTATTGTCAGGATTAGTTGTGTTGAGCCATGTAAAACACTTAGTTCAGTGCCCAGCACATAGTGAGCTGTTGTTTATTATATTATTACTTGGCTACAGAGGTGGCCAGTGCTGGACCACGATTGAGCTGCTCTGTCTGGCAGCTAATGGAAGTCCAAGTTCACACTGCTATTGATTGCAAACTACCAAGAATTTGCTCTTCCCTTCCCTAGGTGAACATCATCCCCATCATTGCCAAATCAGATGCCATTTCTAAGAGTGAACTAACAAAGTTTAAAATCAAAATCACCAGCGAGCTTGTCAGCAATGGGGTCCAGATCTACCAGTTCCCTACAGATGACGAGTCAGTGACAGAGATCAACGGAACCATGAACGTAAGTGGAAACACACTGGTCAACTTTCTGATCATTTGCTCTTTATTTTTACTACTATTAGTTTACAAAATAGCAGTCAGACATCACCATCCATCTTATACTTTGGTCAACTTTTGATTAACTGAGCCTCAGGTACTTCTGAGAAAGAATCCAGAACCAAAACGGCTCTTCTCCCACAGAGGTGGCTGCTTCAAAGCCTCAGAACTGCAGAGATTAATAGCCAGAGACTGAGAGAGGAAAATGCTAGCTCCAGGAAGAGTCGGCAGCAGGGGATTCAGACCTCTCCTTGCACCCTGCTCTTTGATGCTGCTCTGGTCTAGGCCACTTAGCCCCCATGGGACTGTTGGGAAGGCAAATAGTCTTTGTCTCTGACCAAAACAATGCTGTGACAATTGCAGCAAAAAAGTCTGCTGGCCTTGGAGACTCAGGGATATTCTATCTGCACTCAGATAATGAAGCCCTCTGCCTCTGAGAGGAAAAATGACATATAGCCTCCAATTTTTCTGGTGACTAAAGAAATGTTATTTTTAAGTTTCAGGATTACGCTTTGCTTTATTAAGTGTGAATGAATAAAAAAAAAACCTGACTTGCATCTTTCCTCTCCTCCCCCACTTCCCCTCTACTAGAGGAATGAGTAATGAAAAAGGCAGAGAGTCAAACAGCGCCTCATGCTTCTTTCTAATGTGTTGATGCTGTTGCTGTGAAATCTTCAATGTTGTGATTTCAAGGGGACTGCTTAATAGCTTTCCGAGAGCCTCGGCTTTGGGAACAGATTTCTTTTTCTCTACTGAGAGGCATCAGTTTTTCCTAATGACATAATGCCTGGATATAGCCAAATTCAGGAAAGCCTTGTAATAAAAGCCATTTTTAGAAAATTTCCCTGTTGCTGCTGCCCTAAGTTATCATTACAGCATCGGCTGCCACCTCCTGTGAATTGGCCAACAAATTAGCATAGTGGAGCAACAAGTCATTGTCTCGCCTGACTTCCTGCCCATCCATATGCCCAAGATATGTTTGTTCTTAGATGTCTCTCATCATCTTTGACAAATCTGGCCCAAGAGTAAGCCTATGTGGATTGTGGTAGGTGGAGTTATATCCTGACTGACCAGTCATGAGCTTTAAGAAAGGGGAAAGAAGAAGGTTGTGCAGTCAGGGCATTTTGATGGAAACCAGGCTCTGTTGTGATGGAAAATCTGAAAGCATACCTAGCCTGCAGAAAAATGGGATGCTAGGGAGAAGCGTCATCCTGAGTCACTGGCACTGGTAAGTAGAAGTGCCTAGTCACCTGAGAACATTGGTCCTCTTAGATACCTTCAAGCCTGGATTCTGTAAGTCACCAGGCAGCTTTCAGGCTTGTGGTTTGCTTTGCTAAGAATAGATAAGAGCTAAGTATTCTCAGCAATCTGAAGGTGTCACACAAAACTTTATCTTACTACATTGTGGATCAGGAGGAACAGTCATTATGGGCTCTGCTCTCAGCTTAGCTGTGTCTTCCTGCTTGCACCCAGTCCAGGTTCTGCCTCAAGGTTGGAAACTTCCCATGCCATGAACCACCAGTTCTCAACCATTCTCTTTTGGTTGTGAAGGGGTTTTGGGTCCTTTCTTAAATAGTCCAGTGTTTGCTAGTGTTTCACTTGGAAAAACTAAACTTGAGTGGAGGAGGTAGGGTCATTCCCAATAATATCACTCAGTACACATTCCCTGACATTCCATCATGCTTTTTTGAGTGGGAAAGAGGGGTGGCTCACAGCCAGTGTGCCTGAAACTGGGCATGTCTGCAGGAGTAGGGCATGCATGTGAATGCTATGTGTTACAGCCAAGGGGAAAGGGAGGGGAGTTGCTCTATAAAATATACATACAGGATTGCTCAGCCTTTTGGCCACCAGGACACCTGTGGGAAAAGTCCCCAGGCACTCTGGACAAGCTGTGGTGTATGAACCCGTATGATCAGAGACTGCACTTGGGTGCCAGGAGGAATGGATGCTGGCCTTTCAAATCTGGATTTGACTCCAGCCCCACAGCCTCAGCCTCCCCAGCCAATTGTCATGGGAACTGGATTGGAAGAAGTAGAAGAAGCTTCTTGCCTAAGTGAAGACCATACAGTCATCCTTTTGAGGCAGAAATGAGAGGCATGAGGTCTCAGCCTCCCCCCTAGCTTATGGTGGCTCTGAAAAACCTTATTTCTGTCTGAGGGGGCAGGAGAAGGGAGTGAGAGGTCTTGTTGCATGCTACTTTCAAACCATGTGCTGATAGCTCTCCGAGTTGTAGTTAATATGAAAAATTGCTGTGTTGTTCAAACTGAATGTGTTTTGAATGGTCCAAACCATGGCCAGGGACTGGAGAATAAGCCCAGTTACTCAACTCAGCTCAGTTGGTTGATCATCTGTGAAGTCTTGGGTTTGGCTTCCACAAGGGTATTTGAACCAGTGAGAGCACATGGGTGACAGGCAGAGTCACAGGGACACCCACAGGCATAAGCCCATCCCTTTTCCTGAGGCAGCAGTGCCATTTCTGTTGTTAGCACATCCTTTTGAGGGAATCACCAAGGGCTAACATGGGAAAGGATCAGGCAGTGCTATTGCTCAGTCTCCACTAGGAGCCTGAAATGAGGGTGAACATAACCCACAGCATGACTGGGAAGCACTGTCCACCCTGGGAGGAAGCCGTGCCCAGTCCGGTTACTATCAGAAGAGGAATAAAACGTCCTGAGAGTCTCTATTTCATCAGGCTGAAGGGAACAGTCATCTACCTTCCCAAGTGTAATGGATGTAGTGGAACTGGAATAAAATAATTCATGCCAGTTGGGTGATCAAGTGCTATAAAATGGACTGAGGAATTTAAGGTGGTAGACACAAGACAGGATAGGAAGTGAATCTGGGAATAGACTCCCAAGAGGAGGCTTGAGACTATCTCTTGGAGTTTTCTGAGACTGGGACATCTGACATCCATGGGCACCTATCAGAGGTCTCCTGGGTGAGAATCTGAGGTACTCCCCTTAGGGGACTGTCTGCATTTCAGCAGCAGAACTGTCTGCACCAGTGGGGTCTCCTTGGGCAATCACATACAAAGTATCACCCCTGGAAGTGTGACTTGTGGGAGGGTTTACCTCTTCCCTGCTCTGCTTGACTCTGTTCTGGTTGTCATAGCCATCAGTCTCTCCAGAGTAGCAGAAAGGGCCAGAGCCCCATGGTTTCCTGCCCTTCATGCTTGGCTGACTTCCAGCAGATGCCATTTAGCCAGGAGGCAGAACACAGGCCACCCTGGGTGGCTGGGAGAGGCTGGTGGCTAAAGCATGAGGTCCTCACTGCTCCCTAGGAAGATTTAGGTGTGGGATTTAGGGGTCCAGGAATTTGTTTGACCTTTCCGTATGTCAATTCCCCCAATAATAACCACCACATAAGGAGGCTGTTGTGAGAAGCAAATGAAGTCTGCCTGGGAGCACTCAGAAATGGTATCCTTGCCTGTGCTTCTCACAACAGACTTTGCTGCCAGCTGCAAAGGAGTGTGCTGTGGGAGGTCTCGGGAGCCCTCTGAAGCTGCCTTGGCGCAGGGGCTGTGTGTTTCAGAGCAGGGAGGAATAAAATGACAGCACTTTAAGGAAGAGGGGAAACAAGTGACCCTGACATTCTAACAATGTCTTTTAGAGGTAAAAATAACAAACCCAAAAGGAATACTGACATTTTTTATGCCTTTATTCTCTTGGGTTTTTTTCTCATTTCCTTCTGAGTCTAGGGAAGCCCCTCCCACTTCACACGCTCTCCTCCATCACTTTCAGCTGAGAGCCCATGATGCGGAGAAGGCTTACAACATGGTTGCTTTCTCACCTCCTCCCTTAGTCTAGCCCTCTGCCATCGAGGCCCCTTAGGTCTTTTGTGTGATCTGGCCAAAGCGTTGGGGTCTCTGCAGGAGGGGCAACGGTTGCCCAGAAAGTGTTTGGGGGTGAATTTGAGGCTCCCAACATGTCTTGGGTCCCTGAGTGGGAATGAATTGGGCCCAGATGGTCCACCTAGAAAGCCAACAAGCAGAGATCAAAGACACTCTAGTCTTAGGGCAGAGTTTTCAGAACTTCATTGCCCACCGAATACCCCATGTTGCATGCCCAGTGATCCTCATGATCTTTCACCACTAGGACTGATGAAACATTTCCCACCTCCACCCCTCGCCCACCTTCCATATCTGGATCCTCCTCTTTCCCCCTTTCCTGTGTCCCTATTTCAGGGACAGTCAGCAGAGTGGGAAGAGATCTGGATAGCTGAGATGATACTCTGAGAGCAGCTGAAAGAGGATGAAGGGACGGCCACTTCACCTGGATGGCCAAGCACGTCGGGGGACAGTGGGTGTCTTGGGGCTGAGCTCCTGATTAAGTCCTGTGTTTTGCCACTGAAGAACATTCTTGGCATGCAGTCCTAGAAGAGAATGGAGAAGAAGGATTGGTTGTGAGATCAGCATTCAGATTAAACAAACCAAAAACTTTTGCTGGAGGTTCCCCAGAATTGAAGTGCCTCTTATAATCTGGCCTGGCATGACCAGTCCACCCCAGGTTTTAGAGTGTTCGCCTCATCTGCTGCTGGAACCCCCTAAATAGGAGTGGCAGACCAGCAGGGCCAGGCTTTGAACTCAGAGAGACCTGGTTCCACCCCTAGTTCTGCCCCTTACTACCGTGTGCCTGCAGGAAAGTCACTTAGTTCTTTTGGACCTCAGTTTCCTCTTCTATAAAATGGGGATAATAATACCCACCTCATAGCGTTGTTGTAAAGATTCAATGAGATAATGCAATGTAGAACATCTAGTACCTAGTACACAGAGATGAGTAAATTGCTGCTACTGCTAATACCACTAATATAGCTACCAAAACTGCTAGTACAATTGCTGTTAGCTACTCTGTGAAGCCTGCTTTGACTTCCCACAAAGTTAGCTACTCCCTCCTCTGTGTGTCTCCAGCACATGAGCTTCTGCTTATAATCCTGACCTTACTGTATTTTCGTTGCCATGTCTTTCTCCCCTGCCAGACTGTGTACTCTCTGGGGCAGGCTCTGAGCTTTTTCAATATGGTATTCTTCTTAATGCCTAGCACATGGTAGGAGCTCTGTATGTATTCGTAGAATGGATGAGGGAGCAAATGGATATGGGTCACAGTATCTGTGGTCGAGGCCTGTTTCTCCAAGCTGACTAAGAATCCTTGCTCCAGTGGACTTTTTACTTACCTGTGTACAGCCCTTTTAGGTAAAACCCCATCCAGGATCACCTGGTTTGTAAACAGTATTTGTTCAGTGGTTCCATTTGGTCAGGGGTCACCCAGCACCTAAAACCTGGCTAGCTCCCCATGAGCATTTCCCCAGCCCCACATTACCCCATGGGGGCAGCTGCCTCATTTCTGAGCCACAAAGCTTTCACCAGCCAGGCCTAGCTCCTCTTCACCCCTGCAAGCACCAGGCTCATACCCACATGTACTTTGCCTTTCTTTCCTCTCTGCTGTTCCCATGGCCACTGCCATTCAAGGAGGAATCATTAAGCACCTACTGTGTGCAAGGCACCAGACCATACATTTGAGCCCTTAGTCATAGTCCAGGTATGTAATTCAGGCTTCTCCAACAAGACTGTAAGCTCCTAGAGGACAAGGGAGTGTGTCTTCTACTTCTTTTGTCTCCCTTATAGCACCTAAAACAGAACCCAGCACAGTAATAGGCATGTAGGTAAATACTTGGGGACTTGACTTCTAGGCTAAAGTTCTGCATGAGCCCTTACTCCAGAGAAGGATGAGAACAGGGAGCAAATGGCTCAGTCAGCAGAGTGGTTTCAGTACAGTCTATACCGGTTCTTGAGGCTCTCACTCGGGGCATGGGGGTTAGGGATCCCAGCCCCCTTAGTCCTCCCTTAGCCCCTCTAGCCACACAGAGCCCCCTCATTTCACTCACCCACCTTCAGAAGGCTCTTTCCCTCAGCACAGTGAATACTGAATAGCTAGCTCATCTGTGCATCTGCTTATTATAATTGTGCTTATTTTCCATCTTTGTTCTCTACGCATTCCGCCATGTCACTGTTACCTTCTGTTGTGAATTTCTGACCAGCAAAAGCTTGGACTAGGCCTCTTCTCCCCCACACAGCTCAAGAACTTAAGAAATGCCTATCGATGATGACGGTGAGGGACACTGCAGTGTGGGGGCCCAAGGCTCCAGAAAGGAGCAGCAGTTGTATTGTGGGACACTCTGTGCTTTGCCCTTGGAGTTCTGAGCTTTCATTTGCCTTGTGTTTCAGGCCCACCTGCCATTTGCTGTCATTGGCAGCACAGAAGAACTGAAGATAGGCAACAAGATGATGAAGGCACGGCAGTATCCTTGGGGCACAGTGCAGGGTGAGTGAGTCTCCAGGAGACAGAGAGCAGAGAGCCCCTGTATCTGTCTCTTTGTCTCCATCTACTCTGTGACCAATCCCTAACTTGTCCCACTGTCTACTCATTTGACTTGGGCTTCTAACAGCCATGGGGGTCACTGGTGGGCAAACTCTGGCTCCACACCTGGATTCTCTGGCATGAGCAAGCTCTCTTTGTTTCTAATGGAAGAAGCATTCCTAAAACAAAAACATTTGTACCTGGATCAAGGCAAGGAGTGGGTAAGAAAGCATGTGTACTTGCCCAAGTATACCAGGAGATGTACAAGAACATTCATAGCAGTGTTGTTCATAATAGCAAATAATTAGAAACAACCCAGATATCCTTTAAAAATAGACTGGATGAACTGCAAAAATGGTCACACAGTGGAATATTATACAGCAGCGAAAATGGATTATAGTTACTGCTACGTGAATGCATCTCAGAAACATAATGTTGAGCTAAATAGATCATAGAAGAATACATGCTGTATGATTCCATTATATCAATTTCCAAAGTGGACAAAGCTAAACAAGGTAGTTATCTTTAGGAGTTTGTACCCAAGTGGTAAAAGTATAAAGAAAAGCAAATGACTGATAAAGCCAAAAATCAGGATAGTGGTAGAGTCTCGTGACAGGGAAGGTGGGGGCATGAGATCAGAAAGAGACACAAAGGTACTCTAAAGTACTGGTTCTATTTCACCTGGGTCATGGATACATTGGTATTCATTTTTTAAAATTCTTCAAATTGCACATTTCACCCACTGTGTTGTACGTATGATTATTTCTTAACTTAAAAACAGACATTGTATGTACACTCAGGAGAGTTCCTTTTGTGATCTTCCTCAAACATGCTAAGTTACCCTTGGAACTAGTCAGTTCAGTGGATGAAGCAAGGCCTAGGATATTGTCCTGAGTGGGAGCGGTGTCTGGTCCTCTGAGTCTCCAGCTACAAGCTGGGTCTCAGATTGCAGGGGCACTGTGTGTGAGAAGGTGACTGGTTCACTGTAAATGTCTCCCTGCCACTGAGCAACCAAAAGTGGGTGGGACATTGTCCTCATCGCATACAGAGTCTGGCGTGCTTTGGGGCACACTGGAGACCCTCCGACGATGGCTGGATTTTCCATAGATAAGACAAACCTGGTTATTAGAGCTGTGCAAGGTTTTGGTCTTCTCCGGCGATGGCTGGATTTTCCATAGGTAAGACAAATCTGGTTATCAGAGCTGTGTGAGGTTTTGGTCTTCTCTGCAGCCTGAGACTGGGATGCTCTGCTAGGAACATTTGCAAATGGTTTCTGAACCAACAGCCCACCCCGGGAATGAATTCGTGGTCTGAGAGACAGGAAGCTGAGGTAAAATGAGGAGCCAGCTGATGTGGTTACAGTGACTTCCTCCAATTTAGACCACCCCACACCTATCCAGCAAAGGGGGTTTTGAAGATTTTTCTTAGAAGTTGGTCACCATTCTGTTTGAGTGAGGAAGAAGCTGTGTACTTGCTGGGTGCTTGGCAGGGATTTTGGTGTCACTACTCCTGACTGGCCACCAGGGATCACTGTCCAGAGATGGAGGAGGAGAGGGTCCTGAGAAGTTGCCTGACTGATGTGATTTTTTAATGTTAGCTTGTGTTCTGCGACAGCAGGAGGCTTTATCCCAAAGGCAGTGGGACTCGGGCAGAGCAGTTGTGAATCCATTTGGGCTTTGGAAGGGTTACTCTGATGGCTGCAGGCAGCCTGCTGCAACTGTGCCCTCACCCTGACCTCCCAGACCCCTTCCCTGCCCCCACTACCTTCTCCCAGACCCTGCAAGACAGAATCTGGGGTGACTGTGCCTGTTCATCACCTCAGACACCACTGAATGCACACGGTCAGGCTAGACACAGTGGAGCCCTGCCTGGAGACACGTACAGGGGCACTGCTCACAACCTGGAAGTTCTGACCACAAGTCCCTTTTCTATAATTTGATCTACATCTCTGACCTTCTTAGCCACTGTCCCAAATGCACACCTAGCTGCATCTTTTGAGGAGGGGGCTTGTTCACTCAGGCTGGAAAGTGGGGTCCACTTTATCCTGATCATCACTGCTGCTTGACTGGCCATTGTCTACCCTCTAAAAAACACCACCTTTGAAGCTTCTACCATCCCCATGCGCACCTGTGGTCTATACCCCTCCTTGTCACTGTCACCTAATGATGTCCTAGGTCCTCCACCTTATTCTTTGAAGACTTTGGCCTTTGCCTCCCCTTTAGATTGCCTGGATTTGAATCCTAACTGTGCAACTTGTTACTTGTATATAACCTTGCCTAACCTCACTGACACCTTGCAAGGACTATTCCCTTATCTGTCTGATAAATTCCTATTCTTCACTTGAAACATCCCCGGAGTTGCCTCTTTGGTGTAGCCTCCACTCTCCCAGGAGTTCTTGGGCTGCCCTCTCCTGGGCTTTTATTGCACCCTGGCTATATGCCTCCATTTTGGTCATTTTTGTAGTGCATTTTATTTGTCTATTTGCATTTATTCTTCCACTAAACTGTAAGCTTCTTAGGTCAACACTCCATGACTTCGTTTCTGAATTCCCAGCTACATACAATACTGGGAAGAGAGATTCTGCAAATATTTATCAGACAGATGGCTGACTGCACATTGCCATTGTCATACAAGTGGTGCAGAGCAAATTCCTCAGTGTTTGATTGGGGAATTTGTGTTGAGGTGCTGCTGAATGTCTTAGCTATTTTTTATGGTATTGCAGCTTTCCATTACTGTCAATTTTGTAACTTTTAATTTGCATTTTCAGTAGAAAAATAAATTAGGAAGCAAATCCACAGGCTCTATAGATGCAGATTGAAAGGCAGTGTCACTATTCGACAAATCACCTCTCATTCAGTCCTTTTCCTATGCTTCTGACCTTCCTTTCAATGTACTTTCAATACCCCACCCACTGCTATGCAGTTGAAAATGAGGCCCATTGCGACTTTGTGAAGCTGCGGGAGATGCTGATCCGGGTGAACATGGAGGATCTACGCGAGCAGACGCACAGCCGGCACTATGAACTCTACCGCCGCTGTAAGCTGGAGGAGATGGGCTTCAAGGACACCGACCCCGACAGCAAACCCTTCAGGTACCTCTCCCGCCAGCCAAGCCCAGATCAGCTCAGCCCACCCAGAGGTTCTGGAAGCCGGGCCAGTTCTGTTTGCTGGTCCCCCCTCTGCCTCTGCACACTTGCCAGGGGAGCTGTGGAGCTGTGACAGGGTGCGCTTGGTGTACACACTGGCACAGGGAGGAGGTCCAGAGGCCCAGCAAGGCCGATGGGGTCCCTGCCATAAGCACACATAAGGCAGCAGCAGTTGACTGTGCCAGATGCCAGCCCTGAGCTGAGGCCTTGATCCACAACATGGCCATTTGCGCCTGCCCTCTGCCCCCACTTTGTTCATCCAGCTCCTGTTCTGCCAGGTTTCACTCTGTCCTTTACCCTCCTCCCATTCATCAAAACCAGAGGTGACCAGGTAGCAGTCGTTGTACGCATATCGATCTGCATTCACTGTCCCTTAGTATTTGCATTCAAGTGCAAGGTTTGTTTTGAACCACAGGATGTTAATCATCAAATACTTCCCAAATCAGAATCTAAGATGCTTTCAGAGAAGAGGAATGTTTTTGAAAGCAGTTTATGATGCTGATAGGAGCGATATGCCAAGCATACGTGTTTGATCTGTATGCATGATATGTGACATAATTTAATATGTGACATGTTAAATTACCATGTGGTGCCCTTTGCTGTGGCTCGGTCTCCTTTCAGAAAATGTCAGGCCTGCATAGGAAAGTGAGGGGGATGTTTGTAGGCTAAGAAGGCTTTGGAATGGCTTCCGAGATCCCACAGTACCCATTCACAGCAGAAAGCCAGCCTGGGGGCAGAGCATCCCAGTCCTTCTGGACACTTGTTTTCAGAAGGGTGGGCTCACTTCCCTTCAGGGACTCGGATGGCAGAACTCCTGGGGGTGGAGAAGCTGCACTTGTCTCTCTGGTGGGTGTTCCCTCAGCTTTCTTTCACCTTCCTCTCAGACAGCTTTAATCTGCATTGTGGAGGAAGAGGTGTGCTCCAACCCAAGTGTCTGGTACCCACAGCTTCATCCTCTGCACTGCTTCCCTTGCATGCCAGTATTCTCATCCTAAAGAAACTCCCTTCACTGCTCCTCCTAGCCAGTCTCTGCTGTCAGGACATTTGACTGCGATGGGAAGGAGCGAGAGTTGTCCCTTATTTACTGACTTCTGACCCCACCATATCACTGAAATAAATGCCTTCCTCTACTGTCAGCAATCACATACTCATGGCCAATCTCAGTGTGGCCTCAGTCCGATCTTTTTTTATCTCAGTGTGACATTTGGCACTCTTTCCTGCTGCCTCCTTCCTCAAATTCCGTGTACCTTTGGCTTTTCCGATAACGGTCTGGCTGGTTTGAGTGCTGTCTCTCTCACTACTCCTCAGCCTCCATTTCCTCAGCTTACTCCTTTAGGTGTTGGTTTGCCCCAGGATTCTTTCTGAGGGCTTCTGCTCTATTCTCTTTATTCTCTTTGCAGCTGGTTCTTTCTGCTCTCAAAACCTTAATTACCACCTAGAAACAGATGACTCCCATGCTAAAATCTTACTTTTGAGCTCTAGATAAACTGGTCCAACTGTAACTGGATATTTTTCACTCAGTCATCCCATGGAGGATGTACCTGGAACTTGAGTTGTCTAAAATTTAGTCTTCTTCCCTCTTAAACCCATTCCTTCTCCAGGGTTCTTGGTTACAGTTCATGGTACTACTGTCCATCTGGCTGTCCAAGCCAAAAAGCTGGAATCACCTTTGAGTCCCCCCAAGGCCTGGGCGTTGTGCCGCCATCCTGTTCCTTAATTTCCCCTGGATCTCTCATTCCCTACCAGCCCTTAACATTAAGATACCATCATTTCTTACTTGGATTGTTTGAAAGTCTGCCCTTCACACAACAGCCAGAGTTGTCTCTCTCATTTTCAAATTGGATCAAGTAAGTCCTCTTGCTTAAAATCCTGTAGTAGATAAATGTCCATATCTGTTATATGGCATCCAGCACCTGCTCTCTGCTGCCACACTCAGGGACTTCATCTCCCACTACTCCACAGCTTACATGGTACTCTCCAGCTGTGCGGGACTGTGCCTGGCTCCCCAGGTGGCCATTTGTTCTGTACCTGTGCCTTTTCACATGCTGCCCTCTGCAGAGCAGGATTCCTCCTCTTCTTTGCCAGGCTAACTCTTATTTCTTTGAAACCAAGTCCTGGCCAGGGGCAGTCCTGGTTCAGGCATCTCCCACTAGACTGTGAGTTCCTTGATGGCAGGCATAGTGGCCGTTGGCTCCAGATGTTAAATGACTAGCATAATGTCACTTAGTCATGTGTCTCACCCACGGTGGAGTAGCAAGTGTTTGTTGAAGTAGTTCATTAATGTGCTCAGTTTCAGAGCCAAGACCTGGCAGCATAGTGCAGTGGGAGGACCCAGACCAAGAGACAGGAGACTCAGCTTCTGGTCCTACCTCTGTCTCTACCTAGCTGTGTGGTCTTAAGCAAGTCATCTCACCTCTCTGGGCCTGTTTGTTCATCTGTAAAACCAGAGTATATAATGCATTTGAGGGGATTCAAGATGGCGGCATGAGAGGTGAGACGGAGAACTCCTCCCCAAACCACAAATAGTATGAAAATATAGTTAATTCATACAACTAACCCTAAAACAACAACAAGAAAGAAGGCTGAACCAGACTGCATACAGACCTCACAAACAGAGCAGACCTCACGAAACAGGATAATGTACCAAAGCCTTGATCCAGTGCGACACAAGCCCTTCCCCCACCCCAGCTCACTGGCGGCAGGAAGAGAAATGTAATGGGGAAGTGGTGGAAGCCTAGGACTGCTGAACACCTAGCCCTGGAGATCTGCTTTGTAAGCAGAAACCTGTACTGTGTGGTGCTTTGGATGTTGGGGAGCTGGAACAGGCAGAGTGCTTGAGAGACTGAGATTCCTGCCGTTTGTGGAGGAGGAGATCCACGTCTGACTGCTCTGTGTCAGAGGAAAGACAGGTGGTCGGAGAGGCTTCCTAGCAGCAAGAGGGCTGCTGAAGGGGTGGGGTTTGCACGGAGCTTGCTGCACGGGAGAAGGGAGAGCTGCACAAGGTTGTCTGAGTGCGCTCTGCCCAGCTGGTTGGGCACTTTGAGAAGCTTCAGGTGCTCCATCCCCCTGGCTGCCTACTCAGCTCTGAGGCCCCCCACTGTGACACACAGCCTGCTGCACCTTCCTACTGGCCTGCCCACACCTGCTTGCAAACCAGCAGTCACTGCGCAGGCGTCAGGCCAGTCAGAGGTAGGCCCCGCCTACAACAGCTAGAGACGCAAATTACAGAGGCGTACACCTCTGTGCTTAGCCCACTGGCTCTGACACTGGAAACAGGCACCACAGACGGGAATCAGGAAACAAATCTTTCCTCCCCCCAGGCACCAGCCCCACTCCCCTATGACACCCAGCTTCACTCCAGGGGCTGAGCAGCTCCAGAGACTGAAGCTTTTGGGCACTAGTGGGCACCACACAGAAATATGAAATGTCAAAAGAACATGGTTCAGACCAAAATCTCACAAACCCCAGAAAAAGGGCCAAATGAAACTGAACTCACCAATCTTCCTGAAAGAGAGTTCAAAATAAAACTCATAAACATGCTTATGGAGGTACAGAAAAACATTGAAGAACTCAGGAATGAATTTAAGACAGATTCAATCATTAAGCAATTCCGTATCTGAAATGAAACATACAGCGGAGGGATTTAAAAGCAGATTAGATGTAGAAGAAGAGATGGTAAATGGAATAGAAATTAGAGAAGAGATACAAAGAAGCTGCGGCACAGAGAGAAAAAAGAATCTCTAAGAATGAAAAAATATTGAGAGAACTGTGTGACCAATCCAAATGGAACAATATTCGCATTATAGGGGAACCAGAAGAAGAAGAAGAGAGAAAAAGGGATAGAAAGTGTCATTGAGGAGGTAATTGCTGAAAACTTCCCCAGACTGGGGAAGGAAATAGTCTCTCAAGCCATGGAGGTGCACAGGTCTCCCAACACAAGAGACCCAAGGAAGACAATATCAAGACATATAATAATTAAAATGGCAAAGATCAAGGATAAAGACAGACTTTTTAAAGTAGCTAGAGAGAGAAAAAAGATGACATACAAAGGAAAACCCATCGGGCTATCACCAGACTTTTCAACAGAAACCTTATAGGCCAGAAGGGTGTGGCATGATATATTTAATGCAATGAAGTAGAAGGGCCTCAAACCAAGAATATTCTACCCAGCAAGGTTATCATTTAAATTTGAAGGAGGGATTAAACAATTTTCAGTTAAGCAAAAGCTGAGAATTTACCTCCCACAAACCACCTCTACAGTGCATTTTGGAGGGACTCCTATAGATGGAAGTATTCCTAAGGCTAAATAGATGACACCCAAGGGATAGACAAAGAGTACAGAATATGATTCATACCATACAAAGACTGGAGGAGGAATAAAAAGGAGGGGAAAAAAAAGAACCTTTAGGCTGTGTTTGTAATAGCATATGAAGTGAGTTAAATTAGACTTAGATAGTAAGGGAATTACCCTCGAACTTTTGGTAACCACGAATCTAAAGCCTTCAATGGCAATAAGTACATACCTATCGATAATCATCCTAAATGTAAATGGTCTGAATGCACCAATCAAAAGACATAGAGTCACTGAATGGATAAAAAAAGAAGACCCATCTATATACTGCCTACAAGAGACTCAATTCAAACCCGAAGACATACACACTGAAAGTAAAGGGATGAAAAAAGATGTTTCATGCAAATAATAGTGAGAAATCAGGGCATAAATGTGCAAAGAAGTAAAAAGCTAACCTTTTCAAACAATAATGCTTCTCTCTCACTTACCAACTTTACATTTCCCTGTATGGCCCTGGAAGATGACTGGTTAGCCAGGGATGGGTAAGATTCCTCAAGGGAGGAACAACCTAAGACAGGCACAGTCACAGGGGGGCCTTCAGGTGAGAAATTGGGGATCAACAGAGGTGAGGCTTAGAACCTCACCCCCCCTGTTTTGAGAGACATCTTCTGCATCCGTGGATGTTTTGTTGCCCTTGTCTAGCTTGGATTAATACTTAGTCTATAGGCGCACACCTGATCATCAACATTAGCTCTCTTACAGCACTAAACTATGTTTTCTACCTTTATCTGGCATCTACCTACCACTTCAGCATTTTATTAAAAATAATAATAATAATAATAATAATAAGGGAGAAATGTGGGATTCACATATAAATCAAGTATAAAAATCAAACGAATAATCATAAAAAAAATAATAGAAAAAAGCATGAGTTGCAGTACTTGTATCAGACAAAATAGACTTCAAAACAAAGAAACTCACAAGAGACAAAGGACATTACATAACGATAAAAGGGTCAGTCCAAAAAAAGGATATAACTATTATAGGTATCTATACACCCAACACAGGATCACCTACATATGTGAAACAAATACTAACAGAATTAAAGGGGGAAACAGAATGCAATGCATTAATTTTAGGAGACTTCAACACACCACTCACTCCAAAGGACAGATCAACCAGACAGAAAATAAGTAAAGAGACAGAGGCACTGAACAACATATTAGAACAGATGGACCTAACGGACATCTACAGAACACTCCATCCAAAAGCAACAGGATACACATTCTTCTCACGTGCACATGGAATAGATCATATACTAGGCCACTTAAAGAACCTCAGAAAATTCAAAAAGATTTAAATTGTACCAGATCACAAAGGTATGAAACTAGAAATAACTTACACAAAGAAAATGCAAAAGCCCAAAAACACATGGAGGCGTAATAACATGCTCCTAAATAATCAATGGATCAATGACCAAATAAAAACAGAGATCAGGCAATTTATGGAGACAAATGACAACAATAATTCAACAACACAAAATCTGTGGGACTCAGCGAAGGCTGTGCTAATAGGGAAATATATTGCCATACAGGCCTACCTCAGGAAAGAAGAACAATCCCAAATGAACAGTCTAAACTCACAATTAATGAAACTAGAAAAGGAAGAACAAAGGAGGCCCAAAGTCAGTAGAAGGAGGGACATAATAAAGATTAGAGTAGAAATAAATAAAATTGAGAAGAATAAAACAATACAAAGAACAATGAAAGCAGGAGCTGGTTCTTTGAGAAAATAAACGAAATAGATAAACCCCTAGCCAGACTTATCAAGAAAAAAATCGAGTCTACACACATAAACAGAATCAGAAATGAGAAAGGAAAAATCACTACGAACACCACAGAAATACAAAGAATTATGAGAGAGTACTATGAAAAATTATATGGTAACAAACTGGATAACTAGAAGAAATTGATAACTTTCTAGAAAAGTACAACCTTTCAAGGCTGACCCAGGAAGAAACAGAAAATTTGAATAAGCCAATTACCAGCAAAGAAATTGAATTGGTAATCAAAAAACTACCTAAGAACAAAACCTGTGGACCAGATGGTTTCACTGCTGAATTTTATCAAACACTTAGTGAAGACCTAATATCCATGCTCCTTAAAGTTTTCCAAAAGAAGAAGAGGAGGGAATACTCCTAAACTCATTCCACGAGGCCAGCATCACTCTAATACCAAAACGAGGCAAAGACACCACAAAAAAAGAAAATTACAGACCAATATCCCTGATGAACATAGGTGCAAAAATACTCAAAAAAATATTAGCAAACCGAATTCAAAAATACATCAAGAGGATCATACACCATGATCAAGTGGGATTCATCTCAGGGATGCAAGGATGGTACAACATTCAAAAATCCATCAACATCATCCACCACATCAACAAAAAGAAGGACAAAACCCACATGATCATCTCCATAGATGCTGAAAAAGCATTGGACAAAATTCAACATCCATTCATGATAAAAACTCAACAAAATGGGTAAAGAGGGCAAGTACCTCAACATAATAAAGGCCATATATGACAAACCCACAGTCAACATCATACTGAACAGTGAGAAGCTGAAAGCTTTTCCTCTGAGATCAGGAACAAGACAGGGATGCCCACTCTCTCCACTGTTATTCAACATAGTTCTGGAGGTCCTAGCCACGGCAATCAGACAACACAAAGAAATAAAAAGCATCCAGATTGGCAAGGAAGAAGTCAAACTGTCCCTGTTTGCAGATGACATGATATTGTACATAAAAAACCCTAAAGAATCCATTCCAAAACTACTAGATCTAATATCTGAATTCAGCAAAGTTGCAGGATACAAAATTAATACACAGAAATATGTGGCATTCCTATACACTAACAATGAACTAGCAGAAAGAGAAATCAGGAAAACAATTCCATTCACAACTGCATCAAAAAAAATAAAATACCTAGGAATAAACCTAACCAAGGAAGTGAAAGACCTAAGACCTATACCCTGAAAACTACAAGACACTCTTACGAGAAATTAAAGAGGACACTAATAAATGGAAATTCATCCCATGCTCTTGGCTAGGAAGAATTAATATTGTCAAAATGGCCATCCTGCCTAAAGCAATCTACAGATTCAATGCAATCCCTATCAAAATACCTACAGCATTCTTCAATGAACTAGAGCAAATAGTTCTAAAATTCATA